TGATTATTCAGGACCATGAGAGTGCTAAGCTGGCAGTCTAACACAGAGAGATTTCCAGCACTGTTGTTGTTGTTATTTCTGTTGGTCATAGGTCTTGAACTAAGGGCCTGGGCACTGTCCTGAGCAGTTTTGCTCAAGGCTAGTGCTCTACCACTTTAGAGCTACAGCACTACTTCCAGTTTTTTAATTGTTGATTGGAGACAAGAGTCTCTGGGCTGACTTCAAACCATAATCCTCAGATCTCAGCCTCCTGAGTAGTTAGGATTACAGATATGAACCACCAGTGCTGAGCTAACAATGAACCCTGGTTGTTGTTGTTGTTGTTGTCAGTCGTGGGGCTTGAACTCTGGGCTTGGGCACTGTCCCTCAGCTCTTCAGCTCAAGGCTATCACCTGAGCCACAGTGGCACTTCTGGCTTTTTCTGCTTATATGGTGCTGAGGAATTGAACCCAGGCCCTCATGCATGGGAGGCAAGCACTCTACCACTGAACCATCTTCCTAGCCCCATGATCTCTGTTTTGTTTTGTTTTTTGATGTTATTTTTAAGACAGAGTCTTACTTCCTGCCCAGGCACTGAGCTGTGAGATGTCTGTCTCCTTGTTCTGACTTGTTCAGCTTCCGTCTTTTTTTCTTTTTTTGGTCGGTCTTGGGGCCTGAGAACTGTCCCTGAGCTCTTCAAAGAGCTCAAGGTGAGTACTCTACCATTTGAGCCACTTCCAATTTTCTGGAGGTTAATTGGAGATAAGAGTCTCACAGACTTTCCAGCCCAGGCTGGCTTTGAACCATGATTCTCACTCAGATCTCAACCTTCTGAGTAGCTAAGATTACAGGCATGAGCCACCAGCCACTGGCAGCTTCCTTTTATTGAGATGGTGGGGGGGGGGTCTCATGGGGCTTAAACTCTGGGACTGGACGCTGTCCCTCAGCTCTTCAGCTCAAGGAGAGCGCTCTTATCATTTGAGCCACAGTGCCACTTTGGGTTTTCTGGTGGTTTATTGGAAATGAGAGTTTCACAGACTTTCCTGCATGGGCTGGCTTTGAACCATGATCCTCAGAGCTCAGCCTCCTTAATTGTGTGGATTATAGGCATGAGCCATTGGCGCCTGGCTTTCATGGACTTTTTTTTCCCAATTTCTGACAGGTGTGTGCACTACACCCAGCTATGGATTGAGAAGGGGTCTCAAAAACTTTTCTGCCTGGCTGTCCTCCAACTGCTGCCCTCCCATATTCAGCCTCCCAAGTAGCTAGGATTACAGTTTCAAGCCACCAGTGTCTAGCTTCCCTTTTTCTTCTTTTATTCCACCTGGCCTCCAGCCTATGGGTTGGTGCTGCCCACATTCAGGATGGGCCTCCCACTCTTAGATAATTCTTGCCGGAAATTCCCTCACAGGCACACCCAAAGTTAATTTCCCAGCTTCTTCTCCATTCAATCAAGTTGACAGTCAAGATTACCCCATCACTAACACAGGGATTTATGTATATTAGGCAAGTGTTCTACCATTGAGCTATAGCTTACACTCTACCTCTCTACCTCCTTTTTTGAGGCAGGGTCTCCAAATATAGCCCAGGCTGATCTTAACCTCACTATTGTAGCACTAACTGGCCTTGAATTTGAGGTTCTCTTGCCTCAACCTTTCTTCTGAGAGCTGGGATTCCAGATATGTACACTATGCCCAACTCTTAAAAAAAATTTTTTTAAGTGAAATTTACAAAGGTTTCACATAGAGCAGCAACGTTCCAGGTCAGAAAGCTAGGACTATGCAAGGTTTCAAGTGTTTTATGTAGACTTGGGTCTGAAAACTATGGGGGCTGATATGGGGCCTCAGGTTGGCCCCAGAGTTCTGATTCTGGGGAGTGGGGTGGGTCCCTCAGCAAATACCTAAGGTCCCTCCTCTTCTGTGGTCCTTTTGAGTCCTCTTCTGGTTGCCTTGAGGTGGGGCAATGGGAGGCTGGCTTTGTAGAGTGCATGGAAGTGGTTTTCTCACTGGGTACTTGTGGGCTGTGCCGGGCTGGGGGCCCGGGCACATCAGCGCTGTGCTGGAAGGTGAGTGGGCCATGCCACAGCCTGGCTGGGGACCGGCTCTTTGACTCCTGTCTCAGCCACCCCAGGCCAGTGTCCAGCGGGCATTAATTTTTTTTCCACATCTGCTGAATTTTCTGTTGGGAATGATTTACTAAGGGGAGAAGTTCGAATCGAGTGACGCACTTGGGGACCTTGTATGAAAACTGGTTGTCGGCTGTTTGTTTGGAGGAGCTGGCAGCCAGGGGGTGAAGGTTTGTTTGGGCACGGGACGGACACCCAGGGCAGAGCCCGCTGCCGGGGCTCCGCCGGGGTAGCGCGGGAGCCAGTGACGTCAGTCCTGATCTTTGCTCTCCGCCTCTTGAGCAACCCGATGCCGCGTCCACGGGGGCGGGGCTGGGCCGGAGCTCAGGAGCTCATTGGCCGGGCCGGGCTGGCAGTGGGTGGAGCCGTATTTCAACTGAGCCGAAGGGCGGGGCTCGGTGCCGGCATATCAAGTGCAAGTTTCGCGGGCGGCGGCATCGCGTTCTGGCCGGGCTGCAGGCCTCTGCTCCCGCTCCCCGCTCCCCGCCCGGCTCCGCTCCGCTCCGCTCCGCTCCGTGGCAGCCACGCACCCGCCCGGCCAGCATGCTCTGCCTGTGCCTGTACGTGCCGCTCATCGGGGAGGCCCAGACCGAGTTCCAGTACTTTGAGTCCAAGGGGCTTCCCGCCGAGCTCAAGTCCATCTTCAAGCTCAGCGTCTTCATCCCTTCCCAGGAGTTCTCCACCTACCGCCAGTGGAAGCAGGTGTGCGGGGCCGGGCAGAAGCGGGCTTGCTGACACAGCGGCTCACGGCGGAGAGACTGCCGGAAGGGTGGGAATTTTCCCCGGTTGGCACGTGGCAAGCTCTGCGGCATGTGGGGACGATTGCTTTCGCATGACGTGAGGAAGGCTGGAATTCCAGGAAGGCACTTGTGGGAGACGGAATGTAGAGATGAAGTGCCTGTAACTGAGTGTGGCTGAGATGGCGGGCCGGGGGTGGGGGAGGATGGTAGAGGCTCCTCTTTGGAGGTTCCGCAGGCTGGAGTTGGCATCCCTGGTGTGGGAGGGGAGGGCAACCCGAGGAGCAGGGCACAGCAGGGGTCCTGACCCTTGGATGATGAGAAACTGAGCTGTAGAGGTAGAGGGTCACTTGGGTCACTTGCCTCCTGGTTTCTCAGTTCATTGGGACCACACTGTCCCCAGTGCTAGTGATACCAGTGGGTGCTGGAGATGCTTTGGATGTCCTAGGAAGGCAACAGAAAGGAGGCTCTGTGGGTTTGTTTTTTCATCAGGAATACGCTCTGTAGTCTAGGTCGGCCTCACATTCTTCATCCTCAGCCTCCCAAATGCTGGGATTATACACATGCGCCACCACATCCAGCTCTTAAGAGTATTTTTAAATCAGCTGCAGTGAGCACAGTCGTGGGTTGTCTGTGTCACAGGCACTACCGCAGTCAAATGCATGGATCGCCTTGGTGGCAGGCAACCTGAGGGCCAGAGCTCTGCACCTTCTCCTCCAATGGCTTGTGGACTGTTTCTATTCCAATTAGAAATGTGGAACAGTGGTTCCATTCAAAATTTCTTCCATTCGTGGCTGAGAGCACAGATGTTGGCAGGAAATGAATAAGCCTAAGTAGCAGATAAGACATACCAGCATCTGTCCCCAGATCCAGCCACACCCTGCACACCAGGCTTTTGACCATGCTAGGTCCCAGCATATCTATCTAGGGTCATCCCCCATGAGTGGTCAGGGTGTGACAACAATCCTTTGTGAGCACAAGCTGGCTGATGGTCCATCAACTCATAGATCTTGGCTTTAGCATATTGGTTGCGGATAGTGAATAGAGTCTGGTGGAGAATCAGGTAACACAGGAAGAATAACTAGATTCCTTAAGGGAGCCTCTGCTCTGGCTTCTGAGTGATGCTGAATTGAAGTGACTCATATTGTCTCTCACGTTCTTGAGATTCACCTTTAGGGTGGCACAGTATCTGCAGGAAGGTGGCTCAGGAGATGGACAGGCTCAGCTTGAATCCCACCCACCACTTCCCTGGCTGTGTAACCTCCCATAAATAATTAGCCTCTCTGATCTGAACTCCTGTTTTCTGCTCTGGCATAGAGGAAATGTCGGCCCTACTTCCTAGAGCCGTTGTGAAACTCAGTAAAGCGTTTCACATGACCCTGGCACATTCTATACTCAGTGTGGAGACCTTTTGCAGTTGCTGAGTGCAGCTCAGCTCCATGGCACAGGTGCAGAGCTGTGGAACCTCTTTAAGCCACCCTAGGTCACTTGACTATTGCTAGGTAATGCTGTCCTGGTTGCCAGGGCTCTGTTATATCATCTGGCATCCTGAGACCTGGAACTGGCAGTGCCATGAAGCACATGCCCAAGAATAATCACCCTTGGCTCCTCCCCCTCCTCAGCCTCCAGAGTGTTCCCTTGGCAGAATATCTGCCAGGCAGACATTGCCCCAAACTTTCACTCTAGCCACCGAGTTGTTTTGGGATCAGTGGGGGGTGGGGGAGCTCGTGTGGAAAGAGCAAGTGGCAGAGTTTCTGAGGGAATGGGGAGCCTAGGCGGTGCAAGGGACAGCCCCGCAGGGTGCAAGCAGCTCACCCTGGTTGTGTAACACACAGGTCTTGGGAACACTGACAGGCTGCCTTGCTGGCCTCTGTCTGGAGGGCTCCTCCTGAGGCCTTCTTTGTCCTGGATTTGTCAGGGAGACAGAGTGGGCCTGCTCCTGGCTTCTAGCCAGGCCTTGGGTCTAAACAGTAACTGGCGGGCTGAGAACTGACGTGGCAGGCTTCTTGTGGACTAGAATATCCTGGGAATAGACAGGGGCATCCCAGGTCACTGGGGTGACCTTTGTTCCAGATTGCAGTTTCCTGGGCAAGGGGGCCCCACCAGGGACCGGAAAAGGCAGGTTCTGAGAAAAACCACAAATTCTTTTTGTTTTCTAGAAAATTGTGCAAGCCGGTGACAAGGACCTGGATGGGCAGCTGGACTTTGAGGAATTTGTCCATTACCTCCAAGACCATGAGAAGAAACTGAGGCTGGTGTTTAAGAGTCTGGACAAAAAGAATGATGGTGAGTCTGGGTCTGGCTTGTAGGGCCCTAGCCGGGCGTTTCTGCCTGCCAGGCCCTACTCACTGCGCCTGTCCCCACAGGGCGGATCGATGCGCAGGAGATCATGCAGTCCCTGCGGGACCTGGGAGTCAAGATCTCCGAGCAGCAGGCAGAAAAGATTCTCAAGAGGTAAGTGCCCAGCAACCTCCATGTTTGGGCTGATGGGGGGAAAAAACGGTTCTCGGACTAACCCATGGCGCTGTTCATTGTGCTGACCTGTTTTCTTGAACTCCGCCTTCTTGTGCTCGTAAAGAATCAAAGTAGCCCGGTCCCAAGGGAAGCTTCTCCCCAGGTTTGCAAACCAGCTTTCCCCCTCACACCCACACATCCCATTTTTTTGATATGTGTCAATATTGAGTCTTGAACTTCAGGGCCTGGGCACTTTTTTCCATTCAAGACTAGCACTCTGCCACTTGAGCCACGGCTCCACTTCCAGCTTTTTGGTGGTTCATTGCAGATTCCTGCCCAGGCTAGTTTTGAACAGCAACTCTTAGATCTCAGCCTCCTGCATAGCTAGGGTTTCAGGCATGAGCCACCAGTGCCCAGCATGCCCAGCTCCCTTTTGGAATGACTCTGGAATGACTCCATCTACGATGGACCCAGGAAGAGAAGGAAGGAAGACTCCAAGTTGTTGAGAAGCATCCCCACAACGTGTTCTCTTCCTGGTTAGGAAGGGAGAAGGGGCTTGTACCATATTCCTTCTTCCCACAGCTAACTGGCTCTGTCTGATGCTGAAGGTAGTTCAGTGGTGAAAAGGACAGCCCTGGGAGTTCTTTGGCTCCGGCTCTGGCTCAGGGCTCCTGGGCCTGTCACTGGGGCAGCTCAACCTTGAGCTGTGCTGCCTGTCATGTCTTTGGGTGTGTGCTTGCTTTACTAACATCTGCTCAGAGCACTTATTTGTATTGTTTCTCCTCTCTCCTCTGCATCCTCCTTTGTCTGTCTGTCAGAATACGAACGGGCCACTTCTGGGGCCCTGTCACCTAGTAAGTATCCGTGTCACCTATGACCGCTTCCCTCCCTGACTTCCACGCCTGATCTAAGTGGGGTTCTTGTGGGCCAGTATAGTCCTGTTTGGGGTTTTGCTTTTTGTTTCTTACCAAGAGGGGTGTAAGCCATCTTGCCCTTTCTCACGGGCACACGGGTACCTGAGTGGCTGTAGCTACTGCCTCAGCCTTGCTGAGAGGTGCCATGCTCCTGGTAGACGGGCGTGATTCCACGTGGGTGAGCGCACCTTTTTCTTGCAGCATGGATAAAAATGGCACGATGACCATCGACTGGAACGAGTGGAGGGACTACCACCTCCTGCACCCTGTGGAGAACATCCCTGAGATCATCCTGTACTGGAAGCATTCCACGGTGAGACCACCCGCATCGATCTGTCCACAGGCTCTTCCCCCGGCAGCGGCCACGAGTGGGTCAGGGCTCCCTGTTGTCTCTACTCCGGCCAGCCCAGTACAACCAGCCACGTGTGCCCCCACTTTCCCAAGCACTGTCCACTGTGAACAGCTGGACTTTGCCAAGCCTAAGTGAGGTTCACTTTGCCAGGAGTATCTTCCTGTTCCCACAGGCAGGGGTGTTCATGGCCCATTTCAAATATCCCTTCCAGGAAGTGGAGTTGTGGCTCAAGTGGTAGAGCACTAGCCTTGAGCTGAAGAGCTGAGGGACAGTGCCCAGACCCAGAGTGCAGGCCCCACGACTGACAAAAACAAAAGTTTCAAATATCCCTTCTCCTGATGCCTCTTGTTCCCCAAACCTTATGGTCCCTTGAAATGACTCTAAGGAGAACACACATGGAGAGTTAGTAGATGTCTGTCCTCTCACTTCCTTTGTGTGAGAATATGTGTGTGTGTGTGTGTGTGTGAGTGTGTGTGTGTTGTGTATATGTGTGCCATTTCTGATTCCTCTTTATGGCAAAAATAGCATGTCCCCATTGTATTCCCCAAGCTACTGTTTTAAATGTGGGTCTGCATCGACCTCCCTGCCCAGTCCCCAGATGCCAGCCTTCTCTCTCCTGCTGGTCTTGGCTGAGCTGCCCCTGCTGGGCAGTCTTACTTCCCTGAGCCCGTAGTCTCAGGCCAGGACTGTTGGGTGAAAGTAAGGGCAGGCTCAAGGGTTCAGAGCAACTGGCCCCTGTCTCTGGCCTGCAGGCTTGGGTCAGAGCTGAGCCAGCTGGAACCGGCCCCAGAGAGTGCATATTATCACAGGCAAGGCAGTGCTCTGTTTGCTGAGGTCTTATGTAATGTTCTGCCAGTATGATCCAGTTCCATTACCAGGTTGCAAGATTTATTCCCCTGACCGGATCCTATCCGTCGAACCTGGCAGTCTGTACTGAAAAGCCTTATGAGCTGCCCCGTGATTTTGTAACTGGCTCTTCCACTTCTATCACCTCCTTTTCTACCTGGGCCCTACCGGGCCACCAACAAGGCCAAGCTTTGCCATGTTCACACACAGAAGGGGAAAGATCCCAGTTCCCAGCATCCTCACCATGCACGTGGTCTCCTCAGAGGGTGGAAAGCCATGGCCACCAGCAGTTTGGCTGCAGCTGGGCAGGGTGGGCCATGTATGACTCTACTGGTTTTCCTCACAGATCTTCGATGTGGGTGAGAATCTGACGGTGCCTGATGAGTTCACGGTGGAGGAGAGGCTGACAGGGATGTGGTGGAGACACCTGGTAGCTGGAGGCGGGGCAGGGGCTGTTTCCAGGACTTGCACAGCTCCCCTGGACAGGCTCAAGGTGCTCATGCAGGTGAGCAGCAAAGTGGTCCAGACGAGACCACCTGATTTTTCATCTGGAGTTTGTGGATGGTTGGATTCCCCCTCCCTTGGCAGTGCATTCTGCCCTTTTTTAGCCCAAACTTGTCTAACCCAGTGGATGACATTAGAATTACTGCTCCAGCCAAGGTACCCAGAGATCCAGTTCTAGGTGACCTTTTGCAAATAGAAGATCTAATTTTATCTGACACACTTAAGCAAGGCATCCCCTTACATTAGCCTAATGTGGCTCCATGAGGCCCTGGGACATCCGTAATATGGCAGGAAGTGATTTCCCTGAGCACATCAGCCCAGCGATCAGCTCCATGTCCATGGGCAGAGATGGACTGCTCTGATGTCAGGGGCAGCATTGTGAAATAATCCACATGAGGACACACTAGTGGACTTTGATATCACTCTGAACAGAAACCAGGCAGTCTTGTTTCATTGCTTGTGTCTAGCACTTTTTGTACCAGGAGCCCCGCTCAGGAACAGCACCATCCTTCCTCTCCCTCTTAGCCCTCTGGGACCTCTCTGTATGCCCTCGAAACAAGGGATGGGTCTCAGGGAAAAGGAAATCTAGGCTTAGACTCCGCCCTGGCTTAAGTCCAGCTCCTTCCTTCCCACTTACCTAATAGGTCACCCATAAAAATGAGGGGCTCAGCCAGGTGCTGGTGGCTCACACCTGTAATCCTAGCTCTTCAGGAGGCTGAAATCTGAGGATTGCAGTTGAGAGCCAGCCCAGGCAGGAAAGTCCTTGAGACTCTCATCTCCAATGAACCACCAGAAAACTAGAAGTAGTGCAGTGGCTCAAGTGGTAGAGCACTAGCCTTGAGCTGAAGAGCTGAGGGACAGTGCCCAGGGCCAGAGTTCAAGCCCCACGACCAACCAAAAAGAGGGGCTCAGACAGCTGCCTATCAGACCATGAATTGAATTGCCAGGAAGGTTGCCGGGATGGGAGCAGTCCCGTGGCTGTGCTTTAACCAAACTCAGCCAGGCTGGAAGCGGCAAGGTTATAGATCAGCCTGCGTGAGCCCTGTTGGAGCTGAGGCTGGGTTCATGGAGGTTCACTGTATATTAATTTCTATGAAGAAAAGCTCGGGGCTGGGTTTTGCTTTATTTTTTGAGATAGTCCTTGTTGGAGGTGTTAGGCATAGTGTCGGTACCCAGTAGGTAGCACTTTAGTAAACCTACGTGAATCTAAATTAGAATGAGCTATGTTTGGTCCTCACAGGGCTGAGTTAGACTTCAAATCGCTCACATGAGGGGAAAATAAAACAAAACCAAATTCCCTGGTGGCCCAGCAAGGAAGCCCTGCCCCTGCGCCCCCACCCCGACCCCTGTGATGGCAGCCTACGGCCCTGCCACATTCCACTGTTCTCCCTCAGGTCCATGCCTCCCGAAGCAACAACATGTGCATTGTGGGTGGATTCACCCAGATGATCCGAGAGGGAGGGGCCAAGTCACTCTGGCGGGGCAACGGCATCAACGTCCTCAAAATCGCCCCTGAGTCAGCCATCAAATTCATGGCATATGAGCAGGTGAGGACCCAGCTTCCCGGAGAGAGTTTCCCCTTGGCTGCTTATGGGGCTTTGGCTGGATTGGGAATACCCAGGGACCTGGGAGGCCTAGTCTGGCACTGGCAGTGCCACCAGGTCCACTTGCTTCCATTTCTGGGCATAAAGAGGCCAGGGTCACTAGATCTTGGGGCAAGTGCTGTGGCCTCTGAGTGCATTGGTCTGTTTTTCCCGCTTGTAGATCAAGCGTCTTGTTGGAAGTGACCAGGAGACACTGCGGATCCATGAGAGGCTTGTGGCAGGCTCCTTGGCCGGGGCCATCGCCCAGAGCAGCATCTACCCAATGGAGGTGAGGGGCCACCTGGGTCCTGGGGTAGGCAGTGTGCCCAGAATGGAGAGGACTGCACATGCTCACGTCCCCACGTCCTTATCATATAGGTTCTGAAGACTCGGATGGCCCTGCGGAAAACGGGCCAGTACTCGGGCATGCTGGACTGTGCAAGGCGAATCCTGGCCAAAGAGGGGGTGGCTGCCTTCTACAAGGGCTACATTCCCAACATGCTGGGGATCATCCCTTACGCCGGCATCGACCTGGCTGTCTATGAGGTGAGGCCCCGGGACTCAGAAGGCGAGATTCAGCCTCTGCCTTCTACCCTGGCCCTCCTGTCGTCTGTCTGCCTGACATAAATGGTTACAACAGTGACACATTCTCCTCACTTCACTGCAAGGGGCTCCTGGCTTGTGAGCCCTACTCTATTTTCTGTACCCAGAGGCCCAGGCACAGTGGCCCCATTCCCTGTCCTAGCCAGGAATCCACACTGACTGCAGAAACAAAGGGTGGGCGAGCAGGCCAGCAGCTTGGCAAGGCCCTGAGATCCCATGTCTCAGGACATGGCTCCAGTGCAGCTCCTGGGTCTCCATGCCACACACGAGCTCTTCACTCAGCTCACTCCCCGCTCCGCCCTCACAGACCCTCAAGAACACCTGGCTGCAGCGGTACGCAGTGAACAGCGCAGACCCCGGCGTCTTTGTGCTCCTGGCCTGCGGCACCATCTCCAGCACCTGTGGCCAGCTGGCCAGCTACCCCCTGGCCCTGGTCAGGACCCGGATGCAGGCACAAGGTAAGGCAGGCCACCCTCAGGCAGGTCTCTATCTCCTAGGCAGCTTGGGAGGGCCAATGAAAGGCATCTGACCCACCCAGGGTCTCTCTCCTACAGCCTCCATTGAGGGTGCGCCCGAGGTGACCATGAGCAGCCTCTTCAAACAGATCCTGAGGACCGAGGGTGCCTTTGGGCTGTACCGGGGGCTGGCCCCCAACTTCATGAAGGTGATTCCAGCTGTGAGCATCAGCTACGTGGTGTATGAGAACCTGAAGATTACCCTGGGCGTTCAGTCTCGGTGACGGGAGGGCGGCCGCCGATCCTGGGCTGCAGCCCGGGGTGTGCAGTCATCTCATTCTGTGAATGTGCCAACACTACGCTGACTCAAGCCAAGCTGTGAAACCCGGGACGCTGCGAGGGAGGGGCAGGAGAGGGCTGGCGGGTCCCAGGGCTGTCCTGCTGACCCAGCAGACCCTCATGTCCACCTATGGGAAGACCTGTGGGCGTTCTTCAGGGTCAGCAAGACCCGGGCTTCTGCGCCTGGGGACAGGACGTTTCCTGCAGTGCCTGCCAGATAGCAAGCTTGAGGCCGGCTTAGTTTTCATCTTGTCCTTCTAGCCAGACCTCGGCTGGGCCTGCCCTCTGGCCTGCTGAGCATTCCTGTGCCCACTTTGTACCCTTCTCTGATGAGCTGCGGGAGGAGGGGGACGATCACACGCACACACCTTTCTCGTCCCAGTCCCCTCGGGGCTGGTAAGAGGCAGCCCTCTCAGTCCGCTTCCTGAGCTGCAGCATCCATCCCCACCCTGTGTTACGGGAAGCCAGAGGGGGCTGCTTATTTACTCGCCTCTTCTGAGCCCTGTCCTGACTTCTGAGCTCACCAGTGTGGACATCTGGACGTTGTGTGTGTATGTGTGTGGGGGAGATGGGGGGTGTGCGTGCACACTCGGGCCACTCGCTGCCTGGGGTGGTGCATGGCTTTGCAGAAGGCTAGTGCTGGGGCCTGGAGCCCCGATGCCCTCAGCTGCCTGCTTGGGCCTCACGTCCTCAGCTGACCCCAGATTCTGTCAGGACTGGCACTCGCTCAAAACTACACGTGGCATCCCACTCTGTGGCTTGAGGTGGGCCGGGTGGTGTTCGGGAAGAAAAGGCAGAGCTGCTGCTGCCCTTTCTGTCCCAGTGAGAGAAGAGGTGCTGAAGGCCTTAATTATGTCTTGTTGAGCAAAGGATTTCGTTCCAAAAGACAAGCTAGACAAATGTGCAAGTTCTGTACTTGTAGAAAAGTCAGAAGGAGTAGGTGGTTGGGCTGACTGCGCGATTTGTTTCTGCCGCCCCTGGAGATGGATGTCGGTCCGGACTGAGGAGGACCAGCCTCACATCATTCCACCAATGCGACTCACACCGCTTGGAGCCTATTTATTTTGTATTTATTTGAACAGAGTTATGTCCTAACTATTTTTATAGACTTGTTTAATTAATAGCCTGTCATTTTCAAGTTCATTTTTTTAAAACTCATATTTATGTTCATGGATGTTTGTTCCTCCTCATCACTACCGGGGAGGGGTGATGAGAAGAACATGCCTCGAATGACCCTTCCCGCTGTCCACACCCAAAGAAAGTCCTCTGGGGACTTGATGACAGAAGAAAAGGCAAAAGGGGAAGGGACCGTTAGCCAAGGAGAACGTGTCCCCTGGCAGGGGGCTTGGTGTGACAAGGAGGGGCCAGTGGAAGAATCTTCAGAGTCCAAGTCCTTCCCTGGACTGGGGGGAGAGGGAGATGTCTGTCTCACCTTTTCTGAATGACAAAGCAGTGACGTGCTTTTCACTATGAACTGTGAGGGGCAGGGAAAGGGGTCACCCCCCTCCATCCCATATGTAAAGTGGGCTTCCCTCCCAGCCCTCAGCTACCCCTGTGCAACAATGCTGATCAGCTGGCCAGTGACAGTTGTACCTCCATTTCCCCCAGAATCGCCTAATGGGGATCATTTAAATAGGATGCAAAGATCAATGCAAAAATTATTGTTTATATATAAATACATATAGTTCTAACTGGAATTTGTCAATGCAAATTAAGAAAGATGTGGAAGTTGTCATTTCAAACAGCCTTCTAATAAAGGATTTTCAAAGGTGTTGACAGAAGTTGATCTTTTGTTGTTCTTGTTGTAGTCGATCATGGGGCTTGAACTCAGCCTGGGCGCTGTCCCTGCACAATTTTGCTCAAGGCTAGAGGTCTACCACTTTGAGCCACAGTTCCTCTTCTGGTTTTTGAGTGGTTAACTGCAGATAAGAGTCTCATAGAGACTTTTCTGCCTAGGTGTCTTTGAACCTCAGTGCTCAGATCTCAGCCCCCTCAGTATCGAGGGTTACAGGCATGAACCACCAGCATCTGGCTGATGGAGCAGTTTTCTGACCTGAGCTTGGGCATTCGGTGTTTTTTACATGTAAGAACATGAATTCATTGCTGTCATCCAGATCTGAGCAGCCCTATCCTGCTCAGCTCCAGGAGCACGTTCCTTCTTTAGTAGTTATTCATCGGGTTTGGGGTGCTCTGACGAGGCCACCAGTACCCCAAGCTGCCCTCTCCTGATTGAGGACACCCGGCACAGGCCACTCCGTTCTGCTAGAAGCACGATCTTCATGTGGCCTTCAGACACTGCTGGGCTTCTCTCGGCCTCACGATGGTTCCTGCTAACAGATGCTGAGTCCCATGGCAGCCTCAGAGATGCTTTGAGGAGATATATTTAGACAGCCCTGGTTTTCTTGAGCTAATTCCAAATTCTTCCATCCAACAACAAACTCAGCAAGTGCCCTTGAGCAGCTGGCAGGACCTTTGTGTCACATGTCTCAAGCCTAAAATCCAAAACCCAGTCTCAGGGCAGTCAAAACCGTCCAGCCAGGAAACCTTTGTAGTACAACAGATCCAACCCAGACTACTCCTAGAACTCCAGAAGATAAAGCCAAATTAAAAACTGGCACTTCACAAAAGATGACAAATGAATGCCAGTAAACAGGAAAATGGCTTAGCCCTTTGTCAAGGGAAACAAATCTGTATGAGCCACTGCACCCAACTCAATGTGTAGGTTTGTTTTGTATTTTTGGCAATACTGAGTCTTAAACTTGGGGCTTGACACCTGCTAGATGCTCTATTGCTTGAGCCACTCCGTCAAACCCCTCATTTGTTTCTTTTTTTTTTTTTTTTGGTCGGTCATGGGGCTTGAACTCGGCTTGGGCACTGTCCCTGAGCTCTCCAGCTCAAGGCGAGCAGCTCTACCACTTGCCACAGTGCCACTTCTGGCTTTTTCTGCTTATGTGGTGCTGAGGAAGCGAACCCAGGGCCTCATGCATGCAAGGCAAGCGCTCTACCACTGAGCCACCTTCCCAGCCCCTCATTTGTTTCTTGAGAGGTTCCGTGTGTGGGGGTGGGTGTCACTGGGGGCTTAAACTCAGGGCCTAGATGCTGTCCCTGAGCTTTTTGCCCCAGTGTTTTACTACTAGCTCTACTAGCCATAGCTCTACTTCCAGCTTTTTATTTATTATTATTATTATTGATTGGTGGTGGGGCTTGAACTCTGGGCCTGGGTGCTGTCCCTCAGTTCTTCAGCTCAAGGTAAGCACTCTACCACTTGAGCCATAGCCCCACTTCTGGTTTTCTGGTGGTTTATTGGAGATAAGGGTCTCATGGACTTTCCTGCCTGGGCTGGCTTTGAACCACAATCCTCAGATAATCCCAATCCTCAGATCTCAGCCTCCTGAGTAGCTAGGATTACAGGCATGAACCACCAGCACCTGGCTCAGCTTTTTATTTTTATTTTTTGTTATGGTTAATTGGAGGCAAGAGTCTCATGGATGTGAACCATGATCCTTGGATCTCAGCCTCCTGAGTAGCTAGGATTACATTGAGTCGCCAATGCCTGGCTATGTCTCTAAATTTTTCCCAGACTGGTCTCAAACCATTCCTCCCAATCTCTGCCTACCAAGTAGCTGGGATTACAGGTTTCAGCCCCTGAAACCAGTCTCAATATCCCATTTACGTTGTTTTACTTCCCCTAAAGCCTTCAAAAGGCTATAAACTTCAGGGCCCTCACACCTCACTGGGGCCTCTTAGGGCCCTCCCCCAACACACACCTGTCTAGCCTTTGTCCCTTCCTGCTTGTAGCCCATTCACCATCCAACCCCTTCTCTTTCTCTCCCTTTGTCCTAGTTTTTCTTTTAGATGAAGACTCCCTATGTTGTCCAGGCTGGCCTCAAATCCAGGGTTCAAGCAATTTCCCTGTGCCTCCCCAGAGCTAGAATTATAGGAGCCTGACATTTTTTTTCCGCTGAGGTGGAGGTTTTTTCCCCCTTTCTGCTATCTCCGCGGGAGAGGTGAGGCCTTGGGAAAGGGCATGTGTTTGCAGGCTCTCCCCTGCCTGAGACACAGCTGGTACCAGAGCTCACCCCAGTGGCCTGCTGGCCCTGGGCAGCAGGGACCAGGCAGGGCTGCTAGGGGCAGTTAGGAGATATCTGGGGAAGAGGTATATGCCAATGTGTACTGGGTTGAATAGTGTCCCTCTTAAATTTGTGTCCATCTAGAATGTAAGACTAGCCATCTTCATTCACATACAATGAGACCAAAGAAGAATACCTTTAGGAAAGAAACACAAGTCTCAATGTCTATGTGCATCTGATCATAAATACCATAAAATGGTATTTATAGAATAAAAAGAATAGGGGCTGGGAAGATGGCTGAGTGGTAGAGTTCTTGCCTTGCATTCATGAGGCCCTGGGTTCGATTCCTCAGCACCACATAAGCAGAAAAAGCCACAAGTAGTGCTGTGGCTCAAGTGGTAGAGCGCTAGCCTTGAGCTGAAGAGCTGAGGGACAGCGCCCAGGCCCAGAGTTCAGGCCCCACGACCGACAAAAAAGAAAAAAAGTATATGGCCATCCTATTTGGAAATAGGATGTTTGGAGTCAAATTAGGATGAGGTATTGCTGGGGATTTGGAGTCTTTTCACATAGGCACAATAAGACAGGGAGAGCTTCAGCTTCGAGAGGAAGGGAGCCGCTGCTGCTTGAACCCTGGAGGAGCACATCCTTGCTGGCTTGCTCAGGTGGGTTGGTGGATGGTCTCATCTTACCCAAAGGACGTCAGATGCCCAGGACAAGCAGGGCGTGGTGGAAGCCAGAAGATCTCAAGCGATCCAATTACAGCATCTGCTATAACCAAGACGCAGCAGTTCACCTGTCCCCTTCCTCCTGTGGTGATTCCTAAGCAGCTCAAGGCTATACTGGGTTAAGAGAGGCCCCAACTCCAGTGACTGGCATCCCTGTAAGGAGAAAACCTGGGCAGGGCAGTGCCCACCCAGCAATTCCAGCACTCAAGAGGCAGAGACAGGAGAATCTAAAGTTCAAGGTCAGCCTGGATAACAGAGGAAGACCCTAGCTCAAAATCGGTTAGTGAATAAACACTAGCGCCTCATGCCTGTAATCCTAGCTACTCAGGAGGCGGAAACCTGGAGGACTGTGTTTTGAAGCCAACATGGGCAGAAAGTCCAAGATGCTTCATATACAAAATAACCACGAAAAAGATGAAGGCACTGCTCATGTGGTAGAGCACCAGCTGAGTGAGCAAGAGGCCCTGAGTTCAAACCCTGGTACTATACAAATAGAAAAAGGGTGAGGTAATTGGGACACAAAGACTTGTACAGAGGAGAGACATGACCCCACATAGGATAGTGGCAGAGGTTACAGTGACATGTCTACAGGCCACAGAGCTCCAGGAACATTGCTTGCTGCCTTTACCAACCAAGAGAGGAGCCAGCCCCATGTCAGAGGGACCCTGAGGCGGGTGCGGATCATCTTCCCTACAGTGGCCCCCTTGGTCATCCATCCCACTTTTTTTTTCTGTCAGTTGTGGGGCTTGAACTCTGGGCCTGGGCGCTGTCCCTCAGCTCTTCAGCTCAAGGCAAGCACTCTACCACTTGAGCTACAGCACCACTTCCATTTTTCTGGTGGTTTATTAGAGATAAAAGTCTCACAGACTTTCCTGCCCAGGATGGCTTTGAACCGCGATCTTCAGATCTCAGCCTCCTGAGTAGCTAGGATTACAGGTGTGAGCCACCGGCACCTGGCGCTCTGTCCCATTTTGTTAGGTGAAATTCACTGAAGCCTGTTCCCCACCCCGCACTGCTCCCCAGCACTTTTCAGCAACATCCGCTGCCTGGCTTCATTCCTCGGGTTTTTAAGTGTTCATCTCTCCCCATGCCTGGTGTACAGCGAATTAACACTCAAATGTTGGCATCGTTCTTCCAGTCCAGGAACTAGGCTACAGTGGCACCCGGTACCATGGCATGAAATTGGTCTTGGGATGTCTTCACTAGCAAGACAGGCACAGTGCCATCCTATGGCACCAAGGGGGAAGAACGAGTCCCGTTCACACATGGAAGGGTAAATGTTAAACTGCAGTGGAAGCAGGAGCCTTGGCCGCTGGGCTGCTCCTAACCCAGCCCTCACTGGTGTGCGCCAGCTGGAATGTAGGGGAAAGGGTAGATGAGGAGCTGGCGCACTGGGCCCAGCTCCCAGGATTGATGGACCTTGCTCCTTGCTCCTAGGCCAGCCTGGCAGTGGAAGAGGTCAGCCAGGGCTGGGTAGGAGGGACCCATAGGAAGTGGGGCAGGAGTAAACGGAGGCCAGAGGCCAGCCCCAGTCCACAGATTCAACCTGGGCCTTCTTTATTCATCTTTCTAGAACACAGGTCTGGCCATGAGAGCAGTGGGCAAAATGAGCTCCGTTGGCCATTGTCGCTGGTGAGCCCAGTCCTGTGGTGCTGGGGGGGGGGCATCCTCTCCCCACAGCACTTGAGAACAGGGAGGGGGGAGAGCTGGTTCCACCCATGCCAGTCAGGCATTTTACAAGAAACACAGGCTAGAGACCTTGGCCAGGTCCTGGCCCCAGTCACAAAACCCTGTGTGCCCATTTCTGCTTCCCAACTGACTACTCCTGGAGGGCAGCATTTGTATTCACATCCTAACGCTGCTGCGCCAAGCAGCCGCAAGCTCAGTGACTCAGAACAACACCAATGAAATGAGTCTTCCGGTTCTGCAGGCCAGAAAAGTTCAAAATCACAGGGCTGAAATCAGTGTCAAGGCTGCTCCA